CTACTATTATTATTTGGTACCTGCAAATTCTTTACTTTCTCACCTCAGGCTCTGAGCAGCGTCGGTCTCCGGGCTCTGGAGCTGTCTGGCACCCCAGCTGCCTCCTCTTCTCCGTTGATGACCTCAGAGTTGGAGCGCTGTGCCGTCAACGCTGTGCGTGTGTGGCGGATGCCCCCTCGGCATTGTGGGTAACTAGCCCATTCGTCTTTGAGGGCGTAGCCCCCTCCTCCTCGCCCTGCCGTCGCGCTGTTCACGGGCGACAGATGAGCCGACTGGAAAAAATCCAGTTCCAGCTTTATCGTCCCGTTGGGGAAAGGTGTTTTACAGCACTCTCCCGACGTCGCAACTCAGTGACAGATGAGATCTTTCCAGCCAAGAAGTCTGTGCGACAGGGTTATGGTTAAAGGGAGAAGATAGTTATGATACATCGTTTGAAGGAGATCTTGCAGTGGGACTGAAAGATTTCCTGTGTCTGTTAGTATCGCGCCTGGGGGACACAGAGAAGTGTGAACTCGCAGCAGAGGGGGTGAGACACACAATCCATAACACACACTGCTCTCTTTCCCCTTCCGAAGCAAACATGTTGATGACTGGAAGGGGCCCTCCCAACACTGAAACGTGAGTGAGAGGGCCCGAATGGAAACCACAAGGAAGAGTATTTGAAATAGGGGAGGTGGGGGGCCTCTTTTCTTTACGCAAAGGGGGGTGGGAGCGGGGAGCTGTTGACCCAGCTGTGCCGTTCAAACAAAAACCTTGTCTTCTTTCAAAACATGTCTGGCTGAGATCCTTGGTTTAATTAGCTACTAATGACCCAACGAACTGGATGGGCCTTTCAACTGGTCATGGTAACCCTGCTTGTGTTCTTGAAGCGTTGATTACAGGGGAGCAAATAGTTCTTACCCAGACTTGCTCGGCCCAAGTTGTACCTGAAAGCGGGAGACACACGGCTGAGTCTGATCCTCTTTGTGATCTGTCTCAGTGGGTTGTTTGCAGGCTGGAGTCTCACATGGTTATTAAGGTAATGCTAGAAGCTGCTGAAGCCCCTTATTTCTAGTCCAGTTTCAAGCAAAACCGATTCTAAGTGATAGCTAGAGTCTGGACAGAAAAAAAAGAGTTGAGAAGGAAATGGAAACGTGATTTTCCAGGCGTGACATCACCGCGCACCTGAGAGGGTGAGTCAGAGACCAGCGTCAGGTCAGGAGGATGTCCAGAGGGGTGGGTCTCTTCATTGGGTAGCGTTTCCTGGACTGTCGCCGGTCCTTGAGACTGGTAAGCGGATTTTGCACAAAAAGGCATGCAGAGGTGAAAATCATTTGAAACCGTCTCAAAACGTTGTGCTAATATTCTTACTATGAGTGAAAATACACTGGTCAAAATCCAGAGCTGGGAGAGTCCAGAGCTGGGACTAACGGGAAGCAGTGATGAAGAGCTCTATAGTTTTTATCCCACCCTGCTTTCTTAATGGCTTATTAGAGCCAATAACATCTTGACTTTAACTCTCTTCCCAGCGCCGGAGCTAGAGCATGCCGTTTTCCCTCACGAGCTGACTTTGTGGGCGGTGTGCCGCTATGTGCCATGTTTTTCCCAGTTTGTTCTGACCCCAGCCTTGTTTTCACCTCTTCCTCCTCCTCCCTGACTTGCTGTCTTTTCCCATGACTCTCTGCGGCACAGCCAGGGCAGGTACAGCCGAGGTCCTGACTCTCTGGTCATTAAAAATCCAAGGACGTTTCACGAAAAGAGTGGGGGTGTTACCCCGGTGTCCTGGCCCAATTTCCCATTGGCCCTTACCAATCATGGCCTCCTAATAACCCCCCTCTCTGAACTGGCTCCATCACTCTGCTCTCCTCCCCACTGAGAGCTGGTGTGTGGGGAGCGGACTGGTGCATCATCCAGGTGGGGCTGCGCACTGGTGGTGGTAGTGGGATCCCCATGACCTGTAAAGCACTGTGTGTAAAGTGTCCAGAAAAGCGCTATATAAGTGTAAGCAAGTAGTATAATACTTGTCCCAGGATATCACAAGCTAGGTGTGCTCCTGGAGAAAATTCACTTCCCGGTCCTCCCAAAAAATAACCCCACCAAACCAGCGAACGTCCACCAGCTTAGCGTCCCTCTCCGGGGACGTTAAAGCCTCAGTCTGTGCTTGTGGACCGAGTGCCTCCCGGCGCGGTGCGGCCGTCAGCCGGCTCCCATCCCAGTTCCTGAGCTTGAGCAGCCCGGCATCGGGGATAAAACGGGCTCAAGACGTTCCGGGTTCCGTGGAGGCCCGGGCCACACCGGAGCAGGAACGACAAAGAAGCACCGAAATCGACCCGGAAAAGAGACGCCGGAAATCAGTCGGTGAAATAACAGCTGGTACCCCAATCGATGAAGAGGACAGAATCTCCCGCTCTTCCTCTGCGCTCCTCCCGCACCCTGTGGACAAACAGAACAAGAAAAAAAGAAGCTCATCTGGAAAAAAAAAGCACAGAAATCCTTCATTTGCCTTTTTCACAGTCCTTCAAGCTGTTAGTCAATAACGGAGCCCTATTAGGACGTGATTTTCTCCAGCTCCAGTGGAATGAGCAGTAATTTGAACTTAATTGTTTGTGGGTTTGTGTGAAGGAGGATGCAGCTCAGGAAAGTTATTGGGTTTTTTTTAGATGTGTTTAGCATTCCCTGATGGTCTTCCTAGCTAAATGAACATGGCTCTTCTGTCCGGATAACACTGGATGACGAGAAAAAGCGATCCCCCATTCATGAGATTTAAGTTTAAAAGTACAGTAATCTTTCAGATCGACTGCGCGCCGCTGTCTCTGTGGAGGAACCGGTTTCAGTTTGTTCATGTTGTGTTCAGCGTGCTGCGCTGAGAAAGGACTTGAAATATGACTCAGAAGACACGTTCCGTTTTGCCCGCTGTTTATGTTTCTACATTTTAAAGCTTGCTTCAACAGCTGCCCTTCGCTCCTAGCAGCGGCTACTCGCCCCGCATGTGAACAGGCGCTGCGTAGAGCTGCAGAGCAGGGGCGTTATTCGACAGACAGCCGCCAGGCCACTGCGTCCGCAGTCTGGCCACGAAAGTTTGTTACTGGAGTGAAGGCAGGTTGGCGATGAGAGACACAGAACTTTCTGTTTTTGACTAATGTCTTGAAGGGGGGGGGGTCTCAGGGTACTTCTTTACACAAAGGGTTGCGGAAGTGGGGAACGAGCAACCCAGACAAGTAGTTGAAGCCAATACCATGACTTCTGGAAGATCAGCTACAGGGCAGCTTTACCACCATGGAAGAAAGACCCATAAAAAACATGTGGAGGGTTTTGTCCATTATCATTATAATAGAGGGTTCCAATGCGTGCTGTAGCGGACCCGGTGCTCGTCTCAAACGTTTTAAGAGGGAAAAATGAGCACAGAGCCCTCCTGTATTATGATAGACCTCTAAGGGGCTCACCAGCTTGGCACCCAGCAGCCGGGCCGGACGCAGACGCTCCTGCAGACAGCTGGGATGACTGGCGTGGGGGCGGTGGTGACAGAGGCAAAACTGGCCACTGGCTGCAAAATCACTCCTTAACCCTCCAAGACCCCCCTGCCAGGGTCAGGGTGCTGAGCACATAAGACTGCAGGGACTGCACTGCTCAAGGACAAGGGATGCCATATTTTTCTCCTTGTGGGGGAGGGGGCGGGGCCTCCTCGCTGTTTTTCACTTCCGGGGCGAGGGCTCTCGAGGTCAGCCCGGCGTTTCCGGTGTGCGTTCACAGCCTGGACAGGTGGAGGCGCTACGGGGCGGGGGGACACGTCGGCCGCCCTCGGAAGAGCAGGTGGACCCGGCTCGTCGAGGCTGCTTGAATTAGGTGAGGCGATGACTTTCCCTCCTCCCTGTTCTAAAGTATTTGCGCGTTCACTGGGGCGGTGGGACGTTGAAAAGACTCCAGTGGCTCTTCAAAAACCCGCTCGAGTCACCAGTCCTGTGATTTATTTTGTTTATTTTTTACCGCACCGGCTCTGTCCGAGCTGCCCGGTGAAGGAATAACGGTGAAACCGAGCCGGTGTCGGAAACGCCTCTACCCGCCCCGCCGGCACCGTGCCTCGCTTCAGACTCCCAGCGAGAAACGTCTGTGGACGCGTCTGTTGGTTTTTTTTTTTACATTTTCTTCACTTGCGCCAGGCTTGTTACTATATTATTATTATTATATATATATATTTTGCCAGCGCTATTCGTTAACTGTGCAACAAAAAAAAAAGTCTCCACATTCTCGTCTGGGTCCCTCCAGCCCCACCGCCACCCCTCCTCTCCCCCTCTCATCCCTCTCCCTCCTCTCCCTCCCTTGTTCTTCTTCTTCTTCTTCTTCTGCTGCTGCTCCTGCTTTCATTCTGCTCTCCCCCTCCCTCTCTCCCCCCCTCCTCTTCCCTCCAGGGAATAAAGGTCATTGCGCAAATGATTACTCAGAGCTCGGTCGCCATGGCAACGCGGTCATGTGACGGGGACAGGCATGCATAGAGCACAACAAAGAGGTCGATTAGTGAGGCAGCGATGGAGAGCTCTCGCTTTTGTGCAGCATGGGGTTTTTTTTTCCACTCCCCCTCCTCCTCCTCCCCCCCCCCAGTTCGCCGGGAAGAGAGGAGAGAAGGCAAGGAGAGATTGTGGGGGAAATAAAGCAAACAAGGAGCCGAGGTGTTGGTGGCGTTTCTCCCAGCGCTCAGTATTGCTTTAATCTGCCTTTAATTTTTGTTGTGTTCCCTGTCCACCCCTCCACGCTTGCCTTTTGAATTTGAATAATATCCCCCCCCACCACCAGTACCGCCACCACCAGCTCTCAGTGAAAAGGCACACTCCAGCTGCGGAGGGAGAGAGGGGTGTTTTTAATTTTGCAAAGCGGAAAGTCATTAAAAGCGGGCCTTGACTGAAATTAAACGAGGGTTATGTTCCTTTTTTTTTTCTTCCTTGCTGGTGGCGGGGGGGGGAACCCGGCTTTATTTGTGTCTCACTGCGCGATCGGAACAGAACGGCGTGGATCCCGGTGCTGAGCTGCCCGGGCTGTGTGATAACCCTCCCTCGTTTGAAAATAGTCAATGTGGAGAAAAAAAGTTTTTACTGCCGGTTTGCAGCGACGCAATGTGCTTGGCCAAGCCTGGTGAACACTTCTCATTGTGCTGTTTAAGACTTCTAACCAGTGAGGCTCTTTTGCAATTTAGTTTAACTCTTGTATTCTATTGCAG